AGCTTGTTCTAATTGACTCTCCTTTGTAGATGACTTTTCTTTTATCCCTAGCTGTTCTTAAAATTCTTTATCTTTGGTTTTGGTAAGTTTGATTTGACTTTCTGTTGGGATCTACCTTATGTGGGGTTCGATGAGCATCTTGGATAGATATCTTCTCATCTTTCATGATATCAGGGAAGTTTTCTGTCAACAAATCTTCAACAATTTTTGCTGTATTTTCTGTTATCCTCCCCTGTTCTGGTACTGTAATCACTCATAGGTTATTTCTCTTGATAGAGTCCCACATGACTCTTAGAGTTTCTTCATTCTTTTTAATTCTTTTATCTGATTTTTCCTCAAATAAGTTGGCGTCAAGAGCTTTATCTTCAATGTTACTAATTCTAACTTCCATTGCCTCAATTCTGCTCCTATCACTTTCTATTGAGTTGTCTAATTCTGACATTTTATTGTTAATCTTCTGGATTTCTGATTGCTGTCTCTCTGTGGATTCTCACAACCTATTAAATTTGGCATTGTGTTCTTGAATAATTTTTTTAAGTTCCGCTGCTACTGTGTCTGTATGTTCCCTGGCTGTTTATGCATTCTGTTAAATTTCCTTTTTTATTTCTAGAAGATTTCTGTATATTAATCTTTGGTATTCTGCCTCTGGTAATTCCAAGAAGTTCTCTTCCTCCAGATAATTTATTGATTCTTTATTTTGGGAGCTTTCTGAAGCCATCATGGACTGCCTGTTTATGTGAATTGATATTGACTGTTGTCTTCGAGCCATCAATAATTTATTATAATTTTATTTTGTATTTGCTTGGTGAGGCCTAGCTTTTTATTTTGTTTTGTTTTGATATGCCCAAATAGGCTGCTCATGTGCACTAGTTTGATTTTTGACACCTCTGGATCTCTAACGTCCTGTCACCAGGTAGTTAGTTCTGTAACTAAGTGTGTGCACACAGGAGTCCGTTAAATTTTCCTATATGGGTTCAGCTCGGGTGTTCATGCTGTTGGTCACCCAGTGTGTGATGCAGGCTCTCACCCCCAGTCCTAGAGAGGCATGGGTGATTGGTGCAGGCACTGGACTCTGGCTGTGGTAGGGGATCACACGCTGAGCCAGACGGGGCTGACGGCTGCCCCTGAGAGTCTGAAAGGAAAGTGTGTACCTATTCTGTAGGGTGAGTAGGTAGGTGAGTTTTGCAGCTGGACAGTGAGCACCCCACTCTGTTGGCTGTAAAGACTAGGGGGCACCACTTTTTCTTGGACTCCTGTAGCAGGTGACTAGGCACTTTAGGTGCTACCACCAGTCCGCAAGCCCCTGCTGCAGATCAATAAAAGTGCCTACTTAAGGGGCAGGGCTGTTTCGAAGGTCACAAATCTGCCAGTTCACAGCTGAAGCAGTTGAAGTTAAACTTCAGATGTTTGCCTTGTTGTACTGTGGCAGTGAGGACTGATGCTGTTGAGGTGGGTCCCCACAAGTCTGTACAGGGGTGTAAGGCACTCAGATTCTGCGGACCCCTGGTACCTGTGCCCCGCAAAGGAGCTGTGCCGACCCTGTGTTCCTGGCCTAGGGGAGCCAGCAGCTTATTTGTTCTCTCTCCAAGGCCAGGAGAATGGGTCAGGGTGCCTTTTGGGATCTACTTCCGGCCCAGCGGACTCCTGGTACAGAGCGCGGAGGGAGGAGGTAAAAGGGAGAGAGGTTTTTCCCAAATGGGCTTTTTTTTTGTTAATCTCCATGAAAGGGTGCGCGCATGTACTTATCTTAGGCTTGTGGAAGCTGTTTTTCACTGGTACAGAGTGTTCAAGCAGAATCTCTGCTGCCGGGTCTCTCTCGATGTGGAAACTGCTTCTGGAGCACACACACAGCACAGCTGTTTGCCTGCTTCACTGCAGACTGGCTTGGCTGTGGTGCTGCAGTTTCACCGCCGTGGCTCTGGCCCTCCTCACCTCTTCCAAACAGTCTCCCTCTCCCATATCACGCAGATGGATTTCTCAACCTTGCCTTGTTTAGGGCTCCCAGATATTCACATAGAATCAAATCACTTGTTTTTCGAGGTCTTTGTTGTAAGAGAGATATAGGAAGTGTCTAACTACTCCTCCATGTTGACCACGCCCTTCTATAGTTTATATTCTGATCTTGTTAATTGTCCCAATTATCTGCTTTATAGCATTTATTTTCACATTTTATTGAGGTAGGTGTTTAAGACCCAGAATTTTCCTCTTATCACTGCATTAAAGTAGATTCTGATCAGCAGTGTTTTCATTATCTTTGTGTTTTAGAAATTCTCTATTTTCTGTTTATATCCCTTTTCACTCAGAGTCCCTCCCTTGGGGAATCCAAATCATGAATCTGTGTTTGTCACAGTCACTCTTAAGTAATTCTTATATTACTAGCTACATTTTGGGAAGCACTGACATAAACGATTCCCATAACTGTCATCTCCTCACCTGAAGCATAGTGAGAAGCTGAGACAGTGAGAGGGTTTAACACTAAAGTGAAGTAGGTCAGTGCAGACCATGGAGATCTTGTCCAGCCCCCTCATTTTATAGATGTGAAAATACAGGGGCCCAGGGTTTTCTATTTGCAGGCTTTGGCAGTGGTAAAAATGAACATTTGTAGAAACTGAGAAAATGGATTTATATGTAGCTTAAGTTTCTAGTTTCCTTAAATTTATTTTTCTAAATATAAGGCTAAAAGTGTGCTTACATTTAACTTTTAATGTATATATTTTCTGTTGTAAAAAGGTATGGAAATTGAAGGTTATAAATCTTGATGAGTTGAGAAATGTATTTTGTAGCTTCAATTATGCTATAAAGGCATTCTCCTGCTACCAGAAATGCTTATTTTAATTATAAAGTTCTTGAAAGAGATAGATCAAACAGATTTAATGGGCAAAATTGTAAAACCAAATGATCAGGTGGGTCTAAGGTGGAGTAAGCTTGAGTGAGGGAAGAGTTTTGGGGGCTGAATAATGTGGATGATGTGGCCATAAAGGGAGGAAACTGGTTCCGTGTAAGTAGAGATGTAGGCAAACATGGGATAGAAGGCGTGGTATGAAGGAGGGTGTGATTTCAGGATTCTAGAGTTCTGTCTGCAAGGTGAGACTTTTGAGTCAAGTCAGTGATTTTTATTTAGTCTGAGGGAATCTTTTAGAGGAACGATTTAGTCTGTCTTGTCTTCATCTGGCAATGCCATGTTTTAAGTACTACAAATTATCAACTAACGCATTTTTGACCATTGTATATCTGTCTGTCATTGTAATGGCTAAACATGCTCTTAGGTTTATTAAAAGCATTAGCTGTAAATCACTCCTTTTTAGGGGCTGACCATGATACTGACCTTGGTGCTGCCTTGGTGCTGTCCATGGTGCTGCCCATAGTATTTGAAATTGTGACAGCTTGGTCTTTTCGATTTAGGAACATTGAATTTAAATTAAAATGCTTTTGAAAACTATGGTCAGTAATGGTAATATTTTAATATACTTGTTCAGATTTCTTGGTATAAATATACATGTAATATGTAGGTGTGTGTGTGTACACACACGTTATAACATTACAGTATTATTTGGGAGTTTTTAATGCACAAAATTGTATCATACTGTACATATTCTTCTGCAGTGTGCTTTTTTCTACTCTATTATGTGTTTATGGCCATCCATCTTTGTTAAATATACATCAAGCTTTTATTTTAATTGCCATATAATCCACTTTTATGAACATGTCACAATTTAGTCATCATTCCCCTACTGATCAGCATTTTTTCAATGTTTGACTGTTACAAATAATGCTGCAGTGAACCTCTTTATAGAGGTTCCTCTCCCCTTAGGAATATGCTCAATAATCTTTCTGGGATAGAGACACCTAGAAATCGAATTGCTGCATCAGCCTATTCATTTTTACATTAATATTTTAACCTATAACTATCTTCACCTAGAGACCTGACAGCACAATGGTTAACAGCTCAGCTGCTAACCAAAAGATTGGCAGTTCAAATCCACCATCTACTTCTTGGAAACTCTATGGGGCAGTTCTACTCTGTCCTATAGGGCTGCTATGAGTCGTGGTTGGCTCAATGACAGTGGATTTTTATCTTCACCATGTGGGGAAACAGCTAAGCTTTTTTGCCTGTGGAAGTTACTCAGCATGTTGCATGGACTTTCTAGAAAATGTTAAGAAAGAACAAAACACGCAGAAGTGGAGGCAGGAGAGTACTCTGAAGCTTTCAGCTGAGACAAACTTATTCTTTGCTCTTCAGTGCATTTTCCATCTCCTACTTTGGTTTTCTTTGTTATTTTGCTTTTGAAAATGTTTATCTCTAAAATAAATGAGTCTTCCTTTAAGGCAGCAAAGTGAAATATAAAAATCTTCATTCAAAGAATTTACAGAAAATCTTTGTAAATAACTGAAGTGGCTAGAATATAAGAAATAAGTTTAGAACACAATTTAGAGTTTGAAAGGATCATGAAAATCTAGTTCAGCCTCCTCATTTTATGGATGTGAAAAATTAAGGCACAGAGAGCTTAAATTATTTAGTTAGGTTCTTCTAGTTATTGGTCGAGTCTACTGAAACACAGACTCAAGAGTTCCCTTAAAGAGAACAACTTTACAAACCACTAGAATCTTTCCAACAGGCAGCTAATACTGATAGATCAAATGAAAGCTACACTACGGTGACTTGTTTATTTAGCTTCTTGCTGCTTGACCACAGTAACTCACAAAAGCACCACACCTCGTCCAAAGCAAATGTGTAAAACCAATCTTTTTTTATATTACCTGCTTTTGAGAGAACCGTAGAAGCCTTCTTATCCAATGAGATTGGAGCTGGCAGTTAATTGAAAAAGTTGGTTAAAGTCCTTTTCTTTGGATCACGGATTAGAGTTCTCTATTGTCTTTTGTGCATAAACTTCATCTATAATTTCTGTATGGGTTTCTTTGAAATGGACAGAGAACTTAGACCCTTGTGAAGCATTTGGAAGGCAAGATCCTTCTGGGTTTTTCTGGATTTCTTCCTCAACCTTTTGCACTTTTTTGCTCAGACTTAATTAACAGTCGTTTTTTTTTTTTTTTTTATTGAGAAAAAATGCCTTTAATATAACATTATGTTGAAAAAGTTGTATATAAGATTTTATATACAGTAATATCTGAACTGGAGCCCTGATAGCATAGTGGTTAAGAGTTCAGGCTGCTAACTAAAAGGTCAGCAGTTCAAATCCACCAGCCACTCCTTGGAAACATTATGGGGCAGTACTACTGTGTCCTCTAGGGTCGCTATGAGTTGGAATCGACTCGACAACAAGGGGTTACAGGTTAATATCTGAACTATGTTCGACAGCACCTAGGACAGGTAACATTAACAGTAATTTTTAAAGGAAACTCTTCCTTTTTCAAGTTTTCCCGAAGTACTTAACTTAGTCATATAGACACCAATTCTAGAATGCCAATATTTTAACAGGTTTTATACTGGTTAACTATATTGCCTAACTACTGTAAAAGTCATAACTGGCATAAGTAGATTAGGGAATGAACACAGTTGACTGGTAAGCAGCAACTCCAGTGCTGCGTGGGGCGCCAACAAGCTGAGCATTTGACAAGCCATAGGCAGCTCAGGATATATCAGAGGGACAAAAGTTTGTCACTTATTCTCATGAATTAGCTCACTGGAATTTGGTTAAGAGAGCTTCTACTGTGTCCTTCAGGGACCGTTGGCAAATTGTGGGACAGTGGGCTTTGGGGAACACAAGGGGAAAGAGGTAAAGCATATGTGCATTAGGCCTTTTGAAGAGCAGTGATAGTCTTGTTTACTGGGCATAATAAAGCTGTCCTGTTGGGGAAACTCAAATGCAAAACTCTCCTTGAACCTTTCTGGGTAACTTACCCTAACTTTCATAGTGGCCCCAGTACAATATACTGCAATGAAGTATTTTTTGCTTTAAGAGTTTGTTTATGAACTGACATTTATAAATATGCTTTTTCAGCTAATTTACCCCCTATAGAAATGCTTCTTTGTAGTTATATAAGTCATTAGGAAAATTTCTTTTAACATGTGTTTAAAAAAAATTGGTATGTAAAGTGTGCTGTAGTTGTACAATGAAAGGTTTTTGGTTAGACAGTTATTATATAAAATTACGTGTAATGCTTTAAATTTTAAATTTATGAGGTTGTAACCTAAAAGCCTTTCTAGAATTTTTCTTTTGTCTTGAGCAAGAATTTTCTTACTGAAAGTTTTGTATGTATGCTTGTCTTACTTCGTTTGTTATTAGAATGGAGACTGGTTGTTTCATTTTAACAGTTCATGAATATATTAAGCAGCTAACAGACACCATTAGATGCTGCTAATACAAAGATGAACGAAGACATGACTGTTATCCTGTTCTACATGTAGAACTTATTATAGTTCTCTGAATATAGGTGCTCAGGAAATATTTCGTAGTATTAAAACAGAAATGCCAAATAAAGTTTGAATTGCTCTTGAAACAATCCTTTGAGTAAATGTTCCTCAAACCCTTTCTTTCCTGCATCCTGTTTCATTAGGGCAAAAGAGTCCACTCATCTCTCTGTCACCTTGGCTCCTTCTTATGTCAAATAAAAATCTTGTTTGGAAACAGCATGTTATGCCAACTCCACTGGGGCTTCCAATATTGCCATTTTGTCTTCCGTTAACTGAGAAAGCGGAAGATGCACAGGTTGTGGGTAGGATGTGATTTCCCCCCAAGGTTGGGGTGAGGGGTAGAAGTAGAGGGAGAACACTGTCCGGTCTGTTCTAATTAGTTCAGATGGGGAAGACAATCTATAGTGGAGATTATTATTTCCCTTTTAATCTGTGCCTTTATGTCTCTCTAATGAAGACCGCATAAAGCCCCCTGGTCAAGTTCTGTTATAATTCATTTATGTGAAACTTTTAGTTACTTTAAAGTACAGCAAATATTTGGTGTCCCTTTTTTTTTTTTAAATGTCTCTCTTTTTTTCCTAGTCTCCTTATATACATTTGACAAGGCCAAACAATGTATTGGCACAATGACCATCGAGATTGATTTCCTGCAGAAAAAAAGCATCGACTCCAACCCATATGATACTGACAAGATGGCAGCAGAATTTATTCAGCAGTTCAACAACCAGGCTTTCTCAGTGGGACAACAGGTAGTTTTAAATTTTCTTTCATTTCTTTCACTTTTTAGGTGTCCTAATCTCTGTAGTTCTCCAAAATTAATTCTGCCTTTTAAAACTGAAAGAAGCTTTGCACATGAACAGATGTATCTGCCAAAAAAGAAAAACCAAACCTGTTGGCGTCGAGTCGATTCTGACTTATAGCGACCCTATAGGACAGAGTAGAACTGCCCCATAGAGTTTCCAAGGAGCAGCTGGTAGATTCGAACTGCTGACCTTTTGGTTAGCAGCCATAGCTCTTAACCACTCCGCCACCAGGGTTTCCAGATGTATCTAAGATGGTGATAAAAATTGAGGGGAGCTGCACTTACCAGGCCTCTAGGAGTCCATCCCTCAGGTAGCTTGTATCCTCGTTCTTTCTCTTTCTCCCCCTTGTCCTTTCTTACTCAGAAATGAAAGCATTGCTTTGGATAAGAAGAGAAGAGGACTGCTTAAGCCGAAAGAAACATTCTAAAATGTCTTTTAGGTTACAGTGTTACATGTAATAACAGCAACTTTTTCCCCTGCAAATTTGGGAACACTGCAGACTTGTATATCTCAAATTTCTTCTTATTTTGGGACATTTTGTTTTGTCCCTGGAATGTCTTTTTCTTTCACTGATAGATTTCCTAACCTTTTTTTGGGTATGGCCTCTTTCAGAATCTTAAGAAAATTTTGTAAATAAATACTTCTTAGATTTTTCTCTCATTTAAATTGATACTTGCTGATGTTTTCGCGTTTTTGGACTTCAGTTAATATTGTTAGCATCATAGGAAGAAATGCTTTTCTTTAAAAAAAAGTGTGAGTTCATGAATTGTTACTTGTCTGTACACATGAAATAACCAGTGCTCTTTTCACCTTACCATCACATTTGTCTCCTCATTTGTGACTTTTCTTAATCCTTTCTGCCTCCCTCATACTGTAACTCCACAGCAATGGTACTCAAAATGTAGTCCAGACGGCCCCTGGGGTCCCTGAGGCCCTTTCAGGGAGTCTGTGAAGTCAAAATAATGTTCATTGTAACACCAAGACATTTTTCATCTTTTTCCTCTTATTCTTTCACGAATGTACAGTGGAGTTTTGCGGAGATGACAGGGTACATAGCACACTGACTGCCGAAGCAGACAGGAGATTCCAGCTGTCTTCCATGAAGCCAGACGTTGATGAGATTTGTAAAAATGTAAAACAGTGCCACGCTTTTTACTTGTGTGGTTTTCTTTTTAAAAGTAGAGTTTTTTTTAATTAAAAAATATTATTTTCTGTTCACACGTACTGGATTTCATAGTGTTACTTTTAAATGAATTAATAAATACTTTTTTGGAAATTTTTTGTTCTAATTTCTAATATGGTAAATATCAATAGATATAACCCATATAAACAAAAGCTCTTTAGGATCCTGAAAACTTTTTAGGAGTATAAAGGGATCCTGAGGCCAGAGTGCTCTATACCATTCTGATCACTAGTGACTTAACCTAGACTGCTCTTATAGTCTGTCACACGGGAAGTTACGTAAGATTGGGGATGAGAGAGGCTGTAGAAGGGAAGAGCTGTCGGAATGAAAGCAGTGTTATTTCTTTTCATTCTCTTGTCTACCTGAAATGGCGTAAATCTAGAAGAACAAGACTAAGGATCTGGATAGTTCATATATTATAATATCAAACTTTTGCAGGTGGAAACGAAATTACTGATAGGAAAAGGATACAGTGCGTTTATTATTTTTTATGAGTGCTGGAGCTGGAATAACCTGAGATTATCTTGTCTAACTTCTTCATTTTGCAAATGAGGAATTTTAGGTCCAGAGAAGGTAAGTGATGGACCTACAGCTGCATAGCCAGGGGCACAGCTGAGACAAGAATGCTTTAGTCAGTTGGTTAATTACACAAATATTTACTGAGCACCTGGTATGTTCCAGGCACTGTTTTAAGCACTGCAGACAAGCACTGAACAGGATGGCGTACTCGAGAACCAGTGGAGCTTTTACTTTGGATTAGGTGGTCCGAAAAGGCTCCCCAAGATGACATTTGGCTAATAATTTGTTGACTACCTACCCATTCCTTCTAGAATCCTGAATTTTTTTACTGATGGTTGTGTTCAAATTGCTTAGCTAAACGTCATTGTTTTTACCCTGTCCTTTAGTTTTAGTATTGTAATAGAAAATGCTTAGAAGGATGTCTAATAGAAGATGCTTTGATATTTTAACAATTTAAAATGATTAATTTTTAAATTAATGTAAGTATTATAATGTTACATATCATTCTATTATAAAAC